ACTCTAGAGGAGCCCGCGGTGGGACCCCGGGGCCTGCAGCTCGCCCTCCCACCCCCGGCGCCGCCGCAGGGGACCGAGGCGCCCTGGTCCTGCTACCCCGCGAGCGAACACGGGGGCGCGTGGCGTGGTACCGCGCCTCCCGGCGGTACAGACACAGAGTCAGGCCAGAGTCCTGGCTGGGGGCGCGGCTCTGGGTGCAGGGATGGGGTGGGAAGCACAGGGAGAAGGGACACTGCAGTTTGCCCTGGGGGGGGGGGACTGGAAACCCAAGTGAGAGCGGGCTGTATGCTTCTGGCAGGGGACAACTATATGTGCCGTGGTGTCCACGCGTGCCTGGGCCCCACCCAGCGCCTCCTATCCCGCGGCTTGTGCTCGGGAAGGGGCTTTGAGCCTCACTTCAACCACATTGCCTTCTTTGGCGCTCACAGGGGCCCCTGGGGGCGTGCCTCTGTCCCCCCCACACACCAGTAGAGGTAAACAGCTGGCCCCGGGAGGCTTACAGAGAGGTAAGGACTCTGGGCAAAACCGGCGACTCCTCCCGGAGCCCACGCTGCTTCTTGCCCACCCCTCCATACACAGGGAGCGGGACCTGGGGGTCCCACAAAATCACAGACAGCAGAGACCAAGGAGCCTAGCTCCTCTGCAGGAGGTCCTTTCCAGGTGGCCTCCAGACACCAGGATTTAGTAGGTGTGGCAGGCGTGGATCTGTTTTTCAGGCACTGTGGGGTTTTCAACTACGTTCCCAGGTGAGAGCCATTGGCCATGTGCTGTTATATGGGCTCAAGGTCTAGAAGGTCAGGAACTGGGTATTAGGCCACAGGAAGTGGCCGTTTTTATACAAGACACAACGTGTCACCCATCAGAAGTGGCACCTCACGGCCACCCTGGCCAGGAGCTCTCACTGTTCCATCCCCAACAGCTCACATCAGCGCACTCTTGGTGGCCACCTGGTCCCCCCTCCTGGACAGGCCTCCCCATGCAGGGCACCTCGTCTGTGAAGCCTTCCTGACTTCCCCACCACCAGTTCCCAGTGCCCCCAGGACCTGGCGCTCTGTCTGGTCACCTGGTAACTTGTTCCCACCCCCTATTAGAACTGACAGCCCCTTGGGCCAAGGGGGAACTGGAAGTTACCTGCCCCACCTCTGTTTTTGACTGACATCCCCGAGGTCCCATCTCCCTCACCTTGTCCCCCACCTGTCCCCAGTGGTAGCAAGTCTGCATGATCCTTCAAGCATCAAGGGCCACGTGTAGACTCTCTTGTTAAATAGGTATTTTTATGTCCTAGTGGTACTAAGAAAGGAAAGCTGAGTACTGTCCAAAAATCGGGCAAGCCACCTGGGAATGAAGGGATGAAAAAGTATCCTGGGGTCAAGGTCACTAGGCGATAGCACCCTCCCAGCCCACTAGCACATTCACTAGGAGGGATCAGCACCCACCTCTCTCACCGAGATGGGAGGTGCCAGACCTCTGTGGGAGCTTCCCACTGCACCGCCGTGGGGCAGAGTGGGGGGCTGCTGTCCCCTTCACCTTCTCTGCCCCTGTCTGCTGGGTTGAAAGGACAAGGCCACTAGCAGGTGGGTTGCATCCAAGGATAATGGGCAAGCCGTCTGAGAAACTGTGCACATGCCCCATGGTCTCGTGAGTGTCATCAGTTAAACCATGTCCCCCCAAAATTCATATGCTGCAATCCTGACCCCCAAATACCTCGGAATGTGACCATCTGTGGGACTAAGGTCACTGCGGACATCATTACGCTGAGCACCCTAGACTAGAGTGGGCCCTAATGCAGTATAACCAGTGTCCTTATACAAAGGGGACATTGGGAGGAGAGCAAGCCTGAAGACGGGTCAGCCCGTGAGCCACGGAGTTACAGGAAGGCAGGAGGCTCCTCCCCCAGCGCCCCCCTGCCCAGGGATCTCAGCCCTGTGACCCTGCGATCCTAGCCTTCCGGCCTCCACAGCTATGAGAATGTATGTGTTGTCCATGCTGGGGCTCCGGCGCCTCGGGAGGGGGCCCTGGCCAGCTAGCGCTCGCTCGGGCCTGGGGTCCACCCTGAAGAACGTTGCCTGTTACAGAGCATCAGTATTGATCAGGAGCAAAGGCTCCACGCAGAGCGCAGACCCAGATGGGAAATTCTGCCCTTCCTGGAAGCAGCCCCTCCACGTGGGAGGTGAAAAGAGGGAGGGGAACATCATGGTCACTGTGTGTCCTGCTGGCCCGGGAGGACACCACCGAGAATCGCAGGCACCTGGTCTGAGACAGGAGTGCAGGCCTCCTTAAGCAGTAACAGCGCCAGGCCTCCCTCGGACTTTTTGGACTTTTTGTGGGTCGCAAATCTCCGTCTCTTTGCATTCGAGGCTCCCAGCTGCTGAAGCCTTGTCCTTCCAAGAACATGAAATGCCCTGGATTGGGGGTGTGGCACGGTGTGGCGGGGGCCCAGCGTGGAGCACAGTCCAGCGTCGCTCAGTGTCCCAGCTAAGAGCACAGACGCATGCCACCCCTCCCGGCTGTGTGACTTGGGGCAGGCTGCTCACCCTCTCTGGGCCTCGTCTCCTCCACGAACAGGGGCTGTCATGGCTCCCGGCCCGCAAGGTTACCGTAGACACAAGGACAACCGCTGCTGTGCATGTTCTGTGCACACAGGAGCAGGCAAGCGTCAGGCTAACCCCGTGAGCTGGGTGAGTCAGGCCCTCTGGACACGGCAGGCCACAACAGCTGGGGAAGTCGCCATAATCCAGGTTCCTCCTGGGGACACTCACCGAGCTCCTGGGACTTCTGCCAGAGACGCAGCTTCCAGACGAGTGTTCCTCACTGGCTCCCACTTTGTGTTTGGGATGGAATTTCCCCTGTGGGTCTGTTGGAAACCCTGTGGAAATGCAAGCTGTCTCCAGGAATCAAAGGGTGTGAGGAGAACCCCTGTGGGGGGCTCAGCCTCCTCCTCTCCCCTGGCAGCTGGATGGCTGGATGCAGCATTTGCCCCACAAATGCCTCTCTTGGATACGTCCTACTGGGCTGGTTGTTGGGGGCGGGGGGATGTGCAGTGTAGACAAGTAGTGGAAACGGCTGCAGGGGTCGGTTCAGGATTCCTCCGGCGAAAATGGGACAGGACTCCAGCTCAGCTCCCTTAACCCAAAAGTTGGAGGCCACGTCTGCTTACCTCGCTGGAGGCTGGGATGGCTGACTGAGGGCCACACTAGGCAATAAGTGGTCACACCCTCCCCATACAGCAAGACACTGACCAGTCTGGCTGAGGCCACTGGGGCGCATGGCCCAGGTGGCCAAAACAGAGGGTGAGTGTGTCAAACCAGGGTCCGGAGCTCATGGGTGGGTGGTGATCCCTGAGCCACACAGTTGAAGTGGCAGGACAGAGCCCACACATCTGTTCCTTCACACCTTGCTGTCCCCACACCTTGATGGCCAGGAAGACCAACTGGGGCTTCATGCCAGCTCTGCCACCTTCCTGCGCCTGGCCCCGGGCTCAGGGGTCCCCAGAGACTTGGCATCCTTGCCTCAGTGCCAAGGTCTCAGGCCAGCCCAGAGCAACAAGCACCAGATAACACCGGACTGCATACCTGGTCTGTGGGGAGACCTGGCTGGCAGGAGGAGGTTTGCATGATGGGCACGCTGGCAATCTCGTTGTCACCAGGATTTGGCCTGAGAGGAGCAGGACCCCTGGGCAGTGGGAGGGGCCGGCCTCCAGGCTGGGGCCAGCCCAGGAATCCCACCAATAAGTATGTGTTCAAAACCGTGCCCAGTGCTCCCACAGAAAGGCGCGCCCTCTGAGGGGGCACAGAGGGGCACCCAAGCCCCCAGAAAAGTGTCCTCTTGGAGGCAGTGGGCAGAAATGGAACCCTGAGCTCTGAAGACCCAGACACAGAGCCCCGGGTCCTGAGCTCTTCTCCCCGGAGCTCAGGGTCCTGCAAGGTCTGTGTCCTCCTCCCTCCCCCGCCACTGGGAGAGTAGCCTCAAAGGAGCAGATGCTGGCCATGGCCGGGCAGGAGAGACCAAGGAGCCCGGGGCAAGGCTGTGGTGGAGGCCAGCAGGGGCAGGTGGAAGGTTCTTGGTGACCCCAAGGACAGTGGCCACTCGTCATGGGCTCAATGGAGGGGTCTAACGACCCCCGGAGCAAGGCCAACATGACCATGACTGCTCTCAGGTGGCCACACCCCTCATCCGAGCCCACCCGCTGCACTCGGGGGCTTCTAAGGAAGAGTCTTCCTCCGGGTGTAACCATACCTCCCTCAAGAGGCCAAAAGTAGCGTATCCCCAGTGGTTCTAAACCACGACGGCTTTCTACTAAATCCAAAAGACGGGGCATTCCAGGCAGGCATTTTCCGAGAAGGAGGGGACCCTCTGCCAGATGGGGGACGTGCAGGGACATGTGCCCTCGTCAGGCAGTGGCTCTGTCCTTGCCAGGCTCCGGGGCCCAGATGGGTTTTCGCTTGTCCCTGGTTATCCTGAGCATGACAAGGGACTCCGCAAAGGGTGCCGATATTTGCCACGTGTGCCTTGACGTCTGAATATGGCTTCGAGGGACAGCGAGCCTTGGCTGTTGGGGCAAGAGTGCTGGAAGGTGCTGGGCAGG